TGACATGGTTTATATCACAACATTTTTTTAAATAAATTGCAAAACGTAGGAATAAGAGGTACAGCTTTTGAGTGGTTTAAGAGTTTCATCACAAATAGGAGGCAACAAGTAAAAATAAACAATGACTACAGTAACCCTCTCCTTGTACAAACGGGTGTGCCCCAAGGGTCAACGACCTCAGGTACCTTATTTTTAGTGTTCATCAACAATTTATTAAATCTACCTTTTAACGGAAATATCTTAGCTTTTGCTGATGACATTGCTCTTTTCTACACACAAAGCGATTTGATGTTGATGGAAAATTTAATAAACGATGATCTTTTACTTTTAAGAAATTGGTGTTTGATCAATAGAATGCAGGTAAATGTAAACAAAACCAAATTTATTAACTTCCACTCAACCGGTTTCGAATTGCCAGCCGTTAAAAAAAGTAAAATCTATAAAATATTTAGAAGTTTTGCTCGTTGAAAAAGTCACCTTCGAACCTCATATATTATCTCATATATTATAATCTACATGCTAAGATACGAACACAAATAAGAAAATTGTATTTTTTAAGGAACTTTTGTAACGAATCACTCTTGAAAACATTATACTTTGCACTAATCAACTCAAGATTGCAATATGCCTTGCCATGCTGGAGAGGAACTTATAAAACCTTGATAAATAGATTAAGAACAACACAAAACTTTTTATGCAGATAATTTTGAAACAACCTAAAAGGACAAGTTCATTTCCACTCTACCAACAGTTAAAAATTTTGCCCATACAGCACCTTTTTCTTTTCAAAGTTCTTAGATTGTTTTTTGTTCGAAGTTGAAACCTCTTGTCTCACCAGGTTGGTCAACCTGATAGAGATGTTGAAGGCAAGTCATGATCAGAACTTGTTGGCTGACAGATCACCTGCTGGGCCTACTGCTCACATCCACTCTGGCATTCTACAAGTAAGGGTAAGTGAAATATGCTGAGAAGCTGATTCTAGACCACTTTCTTCTTGCCCCTCCCTTTGTATTCAGATACGACTCTGGACAATATAAGCAGTGTAAGTTGTAGTGTAACGTTAGGTAACCTCGGGCTACTGGAGGCCTACCCACTGTTACTTTGGGTGATGTAGCTCAGGAATGAAACTCAGCAATCGTTTACTGAACCCAACTTAACACAACTTAATATTAGCCCACAAAACATACAAAGATAAGTTACAAACAAAAAGGTAGAATAAAGTGGAACAGTTTGGATTAAAACATAAACCCCAATTTGGAAAGAGACTCTAAATCACAATTTTGAGAACCCTCCAGCTCCCCCAGCAGGACCATGTCCTCTAGTACACCACACATACCACTACACACAAAACTGACCCCCTGATCAAGTGCACTGGCCTACTTTAAGCAGCAGCCTTCAGTAGGTCAGCACAACAAGTTATTGTTTAACACATTCGCTGCAGCCCGTCAATGGCAGGCGTAGCCCTGGTGCAGCGCAGCGTCGAACAAACCTTCGGTCTGACGGATAGCAAATAACGTATAATAATAATATAATATAATAATAATGTTTAATGTTGAGGGATGTATAACCAGGATAATATGTTTTCAAATCTTTAAATCTTTCCACCCTAAAATTTCTTCTCATTGTGTACTGTAACACTGTAACTAATTGATAGTGAAAATCACAGGCTCGTGACTATGATGACCCTCCTGGCTTGATGGAAAAGACTGACTTCCTACTGAGAGAATGGGTGACAATTTACAACTCCACATCCGGCAGTAAGGACCCAAGCAAGGCTTTCAGCATGTTCGTTCACCAGGTCAGTTGCTAGTAGTGATGTGTTAATTCTAATCACAAGTACACAAATTCATTTCTTGGGTTTTTAACAGTTGGAAAAATTTTCTGTAGTTTCCCAATCATCCGTGAGTGGATTAAACCGATTAACCATGATTTCTAACAAATCAAGATAAAAAATAAGATAATTCAAGTTAAATGAATGTTATACAGCTACGACTAAGATTTTTAGCATGAGGAGGCCCATCATCTCGAGGTCAGACTATAGAGTTGCCATTATTTGGTCAACGTACCACCGATGAGTCACTATTTACAGCCGATGAGTTGATAATATACATTTGGTGTGTGTTTTATTTTAATATTTGTTATTACTAGGGGTACACTTAGGCTCTCCAATATTTGTCCCACCTAGGCAAGAATAAGTCTTTTATAGCCAATGATGCGTTAAGCGTTAGGTTAGATTAAGGCTTTAATGCGTTTTAGTTTGACTCCCTCATTTCTCCACCTATATGATTAATCAATATTCCAAGGCAAAAAGAGAAAAAAATAACCAAAACAATCCACGATATACAATTATTTTTCCTTCAACAGTTTTTTTTTACTGACATTGCAGAGAGATGTACTGTTTAGCACAATCTGATGTTTAATAATTTACCATTTAAGTTGAAGTGATTTAGTAAAACCTGTTTAGCAGCAATCTTGCACACTGCACCGACGTCTATCCCTAGCTCTCAAGGCTGTTTAAGAGTCCTTGGAGTGTAGATGTTCTAATTCGCAAAACAATTAAAAATTTAAATAAAATTTCTGATCCCACAGTATATTAGATAAATTACAATCACTCTGGTGTTTCAAAAAATATTTTGAGATGGTAAATAACTCTTCAGCAACTGTTTGAAATTATCCATGATGGCCGCTACAAGGACTCTTAAGGGAAAGTCATAAATAATGCAAGATTCGACAATCCAAATGATTACTTCATTCAACCTCACCTAGACAAACATAAGACTCTCTTTTCTTTAGTAAGTCTCTTTTACAGCCAATGATGCCTTACGTTAGGTTAGGTTGATGTGTTGGAAGGTCACTGCTCATTCCTGCACTCATGATTACAAAATATTCTGAGGCTGTGCTGTGTTAAGGAAAAAAAACAATAATTTTTGTGTAGCCAGTTGAAGTCTGATCCAGAACATTTTTTATATCCCCCACCCCCAGCCATATTCTTTCCAGGGGCCCACTTATAAGCAATGCATAAACTTGTAGCTAATAACAATGGTAAAAATTTCAGGAAATTTTAAATATTTAAATCTTGTTATACGAGACGAGATTTGTTTTTGATCAAGATTTTTTCAAGACAAGATAAAAATAAAGAAATTTAAACGCCTGCAGAAAGTCAATGCAATACACGCAATACAGGAGCGCGTTGTAGTTGCGTTTCCTTTGCGAAGGCATTCTTATTTAATTTATTCTTTACATGTAAATATTACTTAAATTGTTTTTCATTTGATAAGTTTTGTTAAGTGTAAGCAGTTAGAGGCATGTTTTACTACTGTAAACATGCCAAAACAAGTAAGTAGCCTATTTTATACAAATTAATATTGCTTTTATTTTATGATTTATTTTATTTTAGGATAAGTTTAACTCTATCCCTAGAACTGATATCACCATGTTTCCTAAGCCTAAGTGTTATTTTTAATAAGATAGGCGTAATTAGTATAATTTTTTTAAATTCTGATTAGAGATGAGCCGATACCAAAAATTGTCGATACCGATACCGATACCACCAAAGTACTCTCGATACCTATCGATACAGATACTTCCAATACCTATCTTTTTTGCACAGTTTCTTCCACTAATAATATTATAAACTGTTATACCATAAAAAAACACAATATGTATGTGTATCAAACTTATATTTTGGTGTTAAAGGTTTATTATTAATTGCAAACAACAATTACAAAAATGTGGAACTAAGTGTTTATTTTAAAATAGGCCTACTGTTTGAATTTGACTAAAGCATGAGATCTAATAAAGTTTCCTCTAATTTATAAATAGGCTTATATAAGTATTTATCTAAGTCATTTGTCAGTTTTTGTATTTATTTGAAATTGCATCAATTGTCTTAGTTAACTCATTAAGCTATAAATAAAAAAAAAAAATACGTACATCTTGGCCTACAAATATTCTTTGTGAAGGTAAGTTTTTTTCCCTAAAGCCTGTGTCACACTTGGCTACTTACTAGCAGCTACCTAGTAGCAGCTACTGAAATAGCAGCTACTTTTCCTGTCACACTTATTTTGGTAGCGTCTATTCACTAGCTGCTACTATTAGTTTAGCTCAAGAGAGGTTATGTCCTTAAGACACGGATATTTTCTATACAGGTTTAAAAAAGTAATCACATCTCCCCCACCCCACTTCGGATCACTCATGATTACTTCAGAAATTATTCAAAATGAACGAGAATAAACAAATCAGGCAGACAGCACGTGGTGCAAGTAGCCGCTAGTCCGCTATTGAAGCTGTCACACTGGGCGACAGTCGCTACTTGATAGCTGCTAGTTGGTCACGTGACTCACTAGCGCAGTTTAGTAGCACGGAAAGTTGGACATGTTCAACTTTCCATGCTAGTAAAATTTCACTAGCGCGCTACTCTTAGTAGCTGCTACTGCCTATGTCACATTGGCTACTTAGTAGCTGCTATTTCGCTAGCTGCTAGTAAAGTAGCGTAGTGTGACACAGGCTTAAGAGAGTAAAAACAAACTTCCTATATAATGACATTTTTTCACTAGTTGTATGAAAAACAGTTATATATCTTCAAAATTTGTTTAACTATGAAAAAGTCACCAAGTCTAGCTGAAAACAGATTCATAAATGAGGATATTTTTGAAATACAGTATAACTAATCAAAGAACATTTTTATTTTTAACACTTTTATTTCTTAACTTATTTTCCTTGAAAATGTCAACAGTTTTTCACTTATTTTAAGAGATGTAGGAATTGGCTAACTCAGGAACTCGCTAACTCGGTCGTTAATCGGAACTGGCTAACTCTGGAACTGGCTAACCATCTCAGTCAGGAATTGGCTAACCCCGGAACCCGCTAACTCGATTTTGTCTCGCGGCGGAATTCGCTAACTCTGGAAGTCGCTAACCCGGCCGCGCCCACTGCACGGAGCGTTGCCAACCTTGTATGACAAAATAATCGTACACTGCCGTATTTCAAAATGTCAGTGTCAATGAAGATACAGTAAAATGTTATTGTTTTTTGTTTTCCAATTCCACTTTTTAACAGTTAACTAGCCCAAAGTATTAAAAGGGGATTTAAAAATCATGAAAAAGTGTTTTTAATATAATTTTACAACGGCGGCCAATTAAATGTTTATGATTTCGATCTGAAATATAAATGCTATGAGTATTAGGACAATAATAGAATATAAAAAATATTGAACATTCAGTTTAATTGGTACTAAGCAATTAAACCTCTATGAAATTAAGCTAAAATACACGCAAGTTCTCAAACACAGAAAATAAATTTAATCGTAATGTCGTAATAAACCAAAACCATTAATTAATACAGTCATCAACCATCGTAACTTTAATACTAATTTATAGATTTAAAATTAAAGGTACGTCGTTGAATCGTCCAACTTAGTGTAAAAATATGACATAGACCACGTTCAATATCAATTCATAGAATAGCTGTAGGCCTAAATCTATGCCTAATAGTTTAAACCAAAGCATTGTAGGCCTACTAGTAAATAGTTGCCTAATTCTAAAATGTGTTGATTTTTTTGTAAGAATGTTATATGTTTTAATAACAGTTTTTAGATTGTACACCTAAGCCCCACTACTAAATAACAGAAGAATATAAAAGATTCTTATATTAAAACGTGACAGGGTTATTTTAATTCACGATTCTTAATCAACGACATGACGGATTTTCCTGATTTTAGTGTTGGGGTTCCTTCATATTGCTTTTACAATCAAAATAAACTATACCAAGCCTAATGATTCTAATCATAACTAATTACACGTCCCCTAGTTATATAACCAAACAGCAAAAAGAACAAATCATGAACGAAACACCTGTTCTTATGTATGAAATGTACTTTATAAAGAACGTTTTGTGTAAATAAAATATGTCTTATGTCTTATGTCTTATGTCTGAACTTAAACTATAAAATAATAGAAACAAAATTTCGTCGACACTAGCGATCAGTGTCACCGGACATGAACTAGACACGAAAAACGAGCTTCAAAGTTTACAATGGGATGTTAAGTTTAATTGTGTTGATTAGTCTATGGTAAGACTATAATGCATTTTCCACTCTAATAATCATAAGAATAATATTAAACATACTTCTAAATATATTTATTTTAACGACTACGTTGCTCTTGCTCCTAATTATTCGTAGGATACGACATTATGGTACTACACTTTCGGCAACACTGGCCAAAAATCTTCGTGCTTGGCTCCCATTGGACGGCGTGCGAGGCTTCTGTTTGGTAGTTAGCGAGTTCCGCCGAGGGACCGAGTTAGCGACTTCCGTACGAGGACGGAATTCGCTAACCTGGCTCTAGAGCGGGTTAGCGGGTTCCGGAGTTAGCCAATTCCGAAACCGAACAAGTTAGCGAATTCCTCTCATCAACCAAATTTGAAGATAGGGCGTTTAACATGAGGTTAGCGAGTTCCAGAGTTAGCCAATTCCGCGGACCCATTTTTAATAAAGATTATCACTTATAATTTCTCGTGGAGCTATGAAGAGCAGACAAGAGACATATGTCATTGCCACAAAAACCCTTCTCTACTGTGAATGAATGAACTGAGTGTTTATTAGTGTGAAGCCCCGCCCACCGTCTAACGGGACATGGGGTAGGAAAAGAGAAAGTTTGCTCTAAAGCCTGGTTCACATGCCCTCACCCTCGGCCTCAGTCGCTTGCAGATTTCCATTACACAAAAGTTTCTGAGTGTTAATTATTTTAAAATACTGTAAATGTTTGAATTTGACTATGATGAGATCTAATAAAGTTTCCTCTAATTTATAAATAGGCTTATAAATATTAATCTAAGTCATTTGACAGTTTTTCTATTTCTTTTTAAAAGCAATTGCAGTTATAATTTAAAAAAAAAATTACATACATCTTGCTATAAATACTTTTTGTAAGGAGAGTCTTTTCTCTAGTGAGTAAAAACGATCGTGGTCAAGGAATGACTGTGCTAAAACAGCACATTGTCAATTTTTACAAAAGTATTTTGACTGAAACCTGGTATTTTTTATTGTAGAATTTGTCGACGTCTGTGGAGAAAAGAATGGCAATAGATAGGTTTTACTTTTAGCCTACAATAAAGATTATGTTTTGGGACTAGAATCTCCAAAAGAGTGCTTTTATAAAACATTCCATAGTTTTATTTAGTAACAAAAGTGTTTGACTATGTTCCCGATGATACCAAGAATATAGGTTCGGCAGAGTGGATTCACTGTGAACCGGCCTTCCTGGCCCTTATGCACGACGTCACTATAACCTCCGTGTAGGGGTGTCAACAATGGATCGGAACAATCGATGTTTTGAACCTGTCTGTAACTAACCTAGTTTGTTATACTTTAATACTCATTATCTATAAACGAACACGTACTACATATCGGATCTCGAATCACGATAATTATCGATACCCTTCCCACCCACAATAAGAACATAAAACGATGTCTAAGTAATGGTCATTTGCTCCATTGAAACACGAAAGTCGATTGGCTGACATGGTAGTGCATTGTCGCCTCCTGACCAATGAGAACTGTTGTTACATACTTTTATTGTCAACATTCACCATTCGTTATAACATTACAAAATCGACATGGACTAAGGCTTATGATATTTTTAAATACATTATGTCATAGTAGCACTTAAAACTTCACTAAACTCTTTAATCAGGTATATAGTACAGATAAAATATGGACCTACTTTTTGGCGCAATATAAAGCAAGCCTAACCATACAACGATGACGATGTTAAAGTTTAATGGTTGAATATAATTTTTCTAATGATGCGTATAATGCAGGGATGAAACTGAAAATTTTGACGTGTTTAGGTTATTTATTTTGTACTAAAAATAAAAATAATACATCTAAATGTCTGACTTATTGATACAGATATTGTTTAGTATAATTAATTTCGTGTTGGCAGGACATTCGCACGCCAGTTGTCTCTTGAGTTGAGTCTGACATCTTGAAATGTAGATTGTGTTGTGCAATGAGCTGAAGCTAAACAATGGCACCGGCACCGTCGCTGTTTTGAACTAGATAGTTTCTAAGTTGGCTATGAAAATTGTTAACCGTGATTACAAAACTAATACTGTAGCTATAAAGTAAATAAATGTTAAAATAAGGTTTGGAGAGAAAGGGCTAATTGCCTGAGAATAGGTGTAAGAAAGGATAGGATAAGCAGGCTTACCTTAAAAAATGTAGGCATCCCACTTCATTCACTACAGAACACAGAAGAAAACACAAACAAACAAAATAAACACACTGGCCCCTTTCTCAACATGGAGAGTCACATTAGATATTAAGAGTCTTTCACTGGTAAGGAAGCAGTGTTGCCAACACAAGGTTATGAGTCATTGATTTTATTTACACTTAGTCTAAGCCTGCTTTTTAGGTGTGGAAGGGGAAAGGAAAATGTTAGGCCTATCTGAGATTGAGGTTTGGGGGCTCCCTGGATTTGGTGAACCATTGATAAGAGAGTTCCCATCTCCTTAGTTGTGATGGGTTACAGGTGGGAGGGAAAGATCTTATTATTTTTGAATTGAAACAACTGTTTAAATCTTGCATATTGTGGCTGGTAGCATGAATAGGCACTGGTTTTTCTGGATGGTTGTTTTTTATATCTGTCCTATGATTGTTCATTCTTGTTCTAAAACTGGTGGTGGTAAGTCCAATGTATTGAGATGGGCAATGGTTGCATTGAAGTTGATATACAACATTTTTCGTGGAGCATGTATTGTGTCCTTTAATTTTGAAGGTTTCTCCTGTTGATGTGCTTGTAAATGTTGTGCTGGGCCTATTAATGTGGCAGGTTTTGCATCTTGCCATGTCACATGGGAATGAGCCTTCTATGGGTTTGTCTTGGTCTTTGTTAGGTTTTGACTGTTTAGGGTGAACTAACAACTTTTTTAAATTGGCTGGTTGTCGGAATGTTATTTTAAATGTTAAAATAAAATATTTATCCCTGTCGGGTGTCGGTATCATCAGAATCAACTTTTGACAATCGAGTCTTGGTACCGATACCAATGTCCAAGTGGTAACCAATGGATGGTGGTATCGATGACGATAATCGACACATCCCTTTTTAGAACTGCATCGTGTCCAAATCGATGCATGCTGGATCGAATCGGGATTCGATGCATTGAATTGAAATTTCAATGCATCGAATTGAAATTTCAATGCATCGCACTCCGCACTCGCTGCACACCACTACCTATCACCCAGTACCAGTGTCAGCTGTCGCTGTCAGTGAAATGGATGACGCAAGCGATGTCTAGGTTGCCGATTATTATTAGGCCTAGTATGTTAATATTGAAAGGGGTTAAGGGATTAAATAAAACTAAAACATTTTCCTTTCTTGTTATTTACTTGTCAAATATCAACAAAATCGGCTTAACCTCTACTACTCGACTCGAGTTGCGAGTATCTTTAACTAAGTAGGCAAATGGCTAGGATTCGTAACGGCAACGGCAATTTACCCGCTCTGAACTGACTTAATCTACACCGATTCGTAGCATTCAGTGGTTCAGTGTCAGTATCGGTATCGAACCCAAAACAGGCAAGTATCGAGTATCGACGATACCTCGATACCGCTGGTATCGAGTATCGGTATCGGCCCACCTCTAATTCTGATGTTTTTTAATAGAAGATTTTAAAAATATTCTTGCCTATTATTATTTTTGTATTTAAACAGTCATCCGTCATAAATCAGTAGGTATTTCACAATGTTACAAAATCAGGTAAAAATGTCGAACGTGCATTTCCATGCATGTATGAGAAGGGAAATCCCATCTCGATCTCGTCTCAAAATTTTATGAAAAATAAAATATCTCGTCTCGTCTTGAACTAAAAATCCAATCTCGTCCATCCCTCTTAAGTAAAAATGGAAATGGAGAGTCAATTATACACTGTAAGGAGATGTTCAAACTATAATTTCCACGTGTACTAGGATTGTACATTTTCATTTTATTTTCCAGATGAACTGTCACGGTATACTGAAGACTGACGATTATATTACAAGATTCTTCCGCCTGAGCACTCAGATGGTGGTGGAGCTGTGTTACCAGAATATTCCTCAGTCCGGCCAGACAACTGTCCGCAACAAGATCTTCCACACCATTGATGCCTACGTCAAACTCATCGCATTGCTAGTCAAACACTCTGGCGATTCCACCAACTCTTCTACCAAGGTGAAGAGATCATTAAATTCTTTACCCGCTCTATCGTAGACAATTTTTATCCAAGTTTACTTGTCTCAGTAAGGTAGATATTTGAGTGAGTAAATAAATATACTTTTTTCCTATAGTTACCTAACAATGTACATGTTCTCTCACTGATTTGAGAAAGCAAAGTGGCCAATTCGCTCATCAGTGGTACAATGTTAACATTGTCTCACTCTAATTAACTTTGTCTCACTCACTCCAGATTTGCAACGTGAAGGCACAAAATAGTGAGCGCGTAACATGCAGACAAGGTCGTTTGCGCGCGAAAAACGTTGGCAGCACTGGCTGTAAATCAGTTGGTCAGCTGTTGTACTGTTGTATCATTAAATGTAATATTAAAAGTTTACTTCTGTGTAAAAATATGTCACGTTTCTTTACCAATTTATTTGCTTTATGGTAACTGTAGGAAAAATATAATGTGCAACTCGAGTGCAAAGTGCAATTGCCTCTCTCGAGAAACCATTCCTCACTCGCCTACGGCTCGTGAGTAAGTATTTCTCTCGAGTGAGTCAATTGCTCCCTTTGCTCACTAGTTGCACAAATAACTATTTATTGAGGCAAACTTTATTACATGTCTAGCTCGGGATTTTTTTGCACATTACTTCAGGCTAGGCTTTGCAGAGTTGTGGAATTATCATTAAAATAATATAATCCGTTGGTGATTGGCGGGATTTGAACCCAGGATCTCGGGGACTAAAGTCCCGAGCTGTAGCTATACCACTATAACAGGTTATAAACCAGCTCGCTCCCCCAGTAGGTGAACATAAGAACCACAGGCTCTTACAATTAACGTTCTGAAATACTAAATTTAAACTATACAATGTACTTTTATTACAAACAATTTTTTGTACCTACTCCAAAATATTAACTAAAAAGTGTAGACTAAAGCAACAAATTATAGTCCCCAATATATATTCACAAACTCAATCACTATCCCCTACACTTAGGCCGAACGGACACCATCTTGCCAAGTCAAATCTTCTGATTGAGTTAGTTAGCCTACGCTTTCAACACGGTCATCAGTCTGGAACGGGATTCTAGGCAACCTGAACCTGATGGTGAATTATGGTGATGGTGGTATTAAGGTGATAGCAGGTATTTTTTGCGCCTCTTTCTTTCGAAAATCTAAGATGGTTCGCGAGATAACTTTGAATTGAGATTAATGTTTGGATTATTGACCTTTGTGAGGGCATCATTGATTGTTATTTACTTTACAGATAAACTTGTTGAACAAAGTGCTGGGCATTGTGGCGGGAGTGCTGCTTCAAGACCATGAGAGTCATCAACTAGAGTTCCAGCAGCTACCGTACCATCGTATCTTTATAATGCTCTTCTTGGAACTCAACGCACCTGAACCCATCTTGGAGGCTATCAACTACCAGGTACAATATTCTTTACCTTAGTTTTTTTATATTAGTAATATTTTTCCAAATCTTCCACTATAAAAACCCTTCAAATTTTTGTTGATATGCTATGGACTGAACCCTTCTCTGAACTCCCAAAACATAAGCTTAAAGATTGTGCATGCACATTCACATGATGTCCACTACCAGCACCGCTTTAAAAACACCTATTCAAATCTTGTATAATATCGAGTATGTGCAACTTTCCTATTTCAATAGAAGAAGGAAATCTTATTAATGAATTTCACCATATTCATGCTAACAATCGTTTAGTTTTCTTCGGTTAAAACTAACTGATGATTTAACCCACAGTTCAAGGAAATCTGATTTCACCAATGAAAATATGGCAAAATTAATGTTGGATTTATAATCGAGTGTAAAGTAAAATCCAGGTGGCAGTGAACTCAAACTGTTATAATACCGGGCTGTCATGGGACCAAGTAAACATAAACTAGAAAATTAATCAGTGTTTATGAGGTAGTGAAAAAAACTAGAGACAGCAAGATTACAAGAATACAATAGATTTTGAGCAACAAGAACAAGATAAAAACAAGAATAAATAGCAACACAATTCAATGTTGATAAAAACAGATACAATTGAGGAACAAATTGATTTAAGTTTTTTTTGTTGAGTCAAGTCTCAAAATCTAACTTTTTACAGGGAAGTTAAACATGTCTGTTTGTTAACTATTAACTAACCAGTTTGGTACATTTGAAGTAGTGAAAAAACTGGAGGCAAAAAGAGTTACAGACAACGTCACAAAATAATAGGGATGGATGGGTTCTGAAGAAAAATTAAGTTAGAAAAATTAAATTAAAATTAGGGAAATTTTCAGGGAAAAAATATTCCTGATTTTCGGGACGGGATTTAATCCAATCATCGGCGATTTATTTGGTAATGTTGGTAGAAAAACACTTTGCCATAGTTAAATGCAAAAACCTACGCTCTTTTCAGCCCGGATAAAAGAGTGGCTCTTGATCGCCAATCAGTTCAACGCGATCGTTGACGCTGATCACATACCTAGAAATACGCTTTTACTAAAAACCTTGTGGGATAACCTAAGGAAAAGGTAAAAGTTTTGATAATTCATATCTATTAATAAAATCAATATCTTCTGAAATATTCAAATCATAAGCCCAATACATTTATATTAATTGAAAATATGAAAAATATGCCGTTTTGATCCAGTTAAAAATAGCAGGCATCACAAATTCTCACATTATGGAAAAACATATCAGATATTATAAGTGAATGGTTTTCTGTAGGTATTGACAGCATTCTGCCACACTCTACATATCCTCCGACCTGCCAAGGCTCCGGGCTTCTCATACGCTTGGCTAGAACTGGTCAGCCATAGAGTGTTCCTTGGCAGACTCCTGGTGGTAAGTATCAATGTATAATCTTACTCCGGGCTTCTCATACGCTTGGCTAGAACTGGTCAGTCATAGAGTGTTCCTTGGCAGACTCCTGGTGGTAAGTATCAATGTATAATCTTACTCCGGGCTTCTCATACGCTTGGCTAGAACTGGTCAGTCATAGAGTGTTCCTTGGCAGACTCCTGGTGGTAAGTATCAATGTATAATCTTACTCCGGGCTTCTCATTCGCTTGGCTAGAACTGGTCAGTCATAGAGTGTTCCTTGGCAGACTCCTGGTGGTAAGTATCAATGTATAATCTTACTCCGGGCTTCTCATACGCTTGGCTAGAACTGGTCAGTCATAGAGTGTTCCTTGGCAGACTCCTGGTGGTAAGTATCAATGTATAATCTTACTCCGGGCTTCTCATACGCTTGGCTAGAACTGGTCAGTCATAGAGTGTTCCTTGGCAGACTCCTGGTGGTAAGTATCAATGTATAATCTTACTCCAGGCTTCTCATACGCTTGGCTAGAACTGGTCAGTCATAGAGTGTTCCTTGGCAGACTCCTGGTGGTAAGTATCAATGTATAATCTTACTCCGGGCTTCTCATACGCTTGGCTAGAACTGGTCAGTCATAGAGTGTTCCTTGGCAGACTCCTGGTGGTAAGTATCAATGTATAATCTTACTCCAGGCTTCTCATACGCTTGGCTAGAACTGGTCAGCCATAGAGTGTTCCTTGGCAGACTCCTGGTGGTAAGTATCAATGTATAATCTTACTCCGGGCTTCTCATACGCTTGGCTAGAACTGGTCAGTCATAGAGTGCTCCTTGGCAGACTCCTGGTGGTAAGTATCAATGTATAATCTTACTCCGGGCTTCTCATACGCTTGGCTAGAACTGGTCAGCCATAGAGTGTTCCTTGGCAGACTCCTGGTGGTAAGTATCAATGTATAATCTTACTCCGGGCTTCTCATACGCTTGGCTAGAACTGGTCAGCCATAGAGTGTTCCTTGGCAGACTCCTGGTGGTAAGTATCAATGTATAATCTTACTCCAGGCTTCTCATACGCTTGGCTAGAACTGGTCAGCCATAGAGTGTTCCTTGGCAGACTCCTGGTGGTAAGTATCAATGTATAATCTTACTCCGGGCTTCTCATACGCTTGGCTAGAACTGGTCAGTCATAGAGTGTTCCTTGGCAGACTCCTGGTGGTAAGTATCAATGTATAATCTTACTCCGGGCTTCTCATACGCTTGGCTAGAACTGGTCAGCCATAGAGTGTTCCTTGGCAGACTCCTGGTGGTAAGTATCAATGTATAATCTTACTCCGGGCTTCTCATACGCTTGGCTAGAACTGGTCAGTCATAGAGTGTTCCTTGGCAGACTCCTGGTGGTAAGTATCAATGTATAATCTTACTCCGGGCTTCTCATACGCTTGGCTGGAACTGGTCAGTCATAGAGTGTTCCTTGGCAGACTCCTGGTGGTAAGTATCAATGTATAATCTTACTCCGGGCTTCTCATACGCTTGGCTAGAACTGGTCAGTCATAGAGTGTTCCTTGGCAGACTCCTGGTGGTAAGTATCAATGTATAATCTTACTCCGGGCTTCTCATACGCTTGGCTAGAACTGGTCAGTCATAGAGTGTTCCTTGGCAGACTCCTGGTGGTAAGTATCAATGTATAATCTTACTCCGGGCTTCTCATACGCTTGGCTAGAACTGGTCAGCCATAGAGTGTTCCTTGGCAGACTCCTGGTGGTAAGTATCAATGTATAATCTTACTCCAGGCTTCTCATACGCTTGGCTAGAACTGGTCAGTCATAGAGTGTTCCTTGGCAGACTCCTGGTGGTAAGTATCAATGTATAATCTTACTCCGGGCTTCTCATACGCTTGGCTAGAACTGGTCAGCCATAGAGTGTTCCTTGGCAGACTCCTGGTGGTAAGTATCAATGTATAATCTTACTCCGGGCTTCTCATACGCTTGGCTAGAACTGGTCAGTCATAGAGTGTTCCTTGGCAGACTCCTGGTGGTAAGTATCAATGTATAATCTTACTCCAGGCTTCTCATACGCTTGGCTAGAACTGGTCAGTCATAGAGTGTTCCTTGGCAGACTCCTGGTGGTAAGTATCAATGTATAATCTTACTCCAGGCTTCTCATACGCTTGGCTAGAACTGGTCAGCCATAGAGTGTTCCTTGGCAGACTCCTGGTGGTAAGTATCAATGTATAATCTTACTCCAGGCTTCTCATACGCTTGGCTAGAACTGGTCAGCCATAGAGTGTTCCTTGGCAGACTCCTGGTGGTAAGTATCAATGTATAATCTTACTCCGGGCTTCTCATACGCTTGGCTAGAACTGGTCAGTCATAGAGTGTTCCTTGGCAGACTCCTGGTGGTAAGTATCAATGTATAATCTTACTCCGGGCTTCTCATACGCTTGGCTAGAACTGGTCAGCCATAGAGTGTTCCTTGGCAGACTCCTGGTGGTAAGTATCAATGTATAATCTTACTCCAGGCTTCTCATACGCTTGGCTAGAACTGGTCAGCCATAGAGTGTTCCTTGGCAGACTCCTGGTGGTAAGTATCAATGTATAATCTTACTCCGGGCTTCTCATACGCTTGGCTAGAACTGGTCAGTCATAGAGTGTTCCTTGGCAGACTCCTGGTGGTAAGTATCAATGTATAATCTTACTCCAGGCTTCTCATACGCTTGGCTAGAACTGGTCAGCCATAGAGTGTTCCTTGGCAGACTCCTGGTGGTAAGTATCAATGTATAATCTTACTCCGGGCTTCTCATACGCTTGGCTAGAACTGGTCAGTCATAGAGTGTTCCTTGGCAGACTCCTGGTGGTAAGTATCAATGTATAATCTTACTCCGGGCTTCTCATACGCTTGGCTAGAACTGGTCAGCCATAGAGTGTTCCTTGGCAGACTCCTGGTGGTAAGTATCAATGTATAATCTTACTCCGGGCTTCTCATACGCTTGGCTGGAACTGGTCAGTCATAGAGTGTTCCTTGGCAGACTCCTGGTGGTAAGTATCAATGTATAATCTTACTCCGGGCTTCTCATACGCTTGGCTAGAACTGGTCAGTCATAGAGTGTTCCTTGGCAGACTCCTGGGGGTAAGTATCAATGTATAATCTTACTCCGGGCTTCTCATACGCTTGGCTGGAACTGGTCAGTCATAGAGTGTTCCTTGGCAGACTCCTGGTGGTAAGTATCAATGTATAATCTTACTCCGGGCTTCTCATACGCTTGGCTAGAACTGGTCAGCCATAGAGTGTTCCTTGGCAGACTCCTGGTGGTAAGTATCAATGTATAATCTTACTCCGGGCTTCTCATACGCTTGGCTGGAACTGGTCAGCCATAGAGTGTTCCTTGGCAGACTCCTGGTGGTAAGTATCAATGTATAATCTTACTCCGGGCTTCTCATACGCTTGGCTGGAACTGGTCAGTCATAGAGTGTTCCTTGGCAGACTCCTGGTGGTAAGTATCAATGTATAATCTTACTCCGGGCTTCTCATACGCTTGGCTAGAACTGGTCAGCCATAGAGTGTTCCTTTGCAGAAAGTCAAAAGTATAGTTTATCATGTTCATCAATTTTAGCAAATTTTCCATATAGGGAATAAGCTATTACCGTAGTACTCGTGGTAAGACATGGATCCGGGACTAATCTACTTTTTCGTTTCTAGGTCCCTAGAGGCCAAAAACACCAACCGTTCAAATTCATATATTCATATATATATATATATATATATATATATATATATTTATGTCTGTTGCACGATAACTCGAGCAAAAATGATCCGATGAAATTTGGTATAAACCTACATTTATTCAAACAAGCTTGTGAACCAGCATGCTTGGACAATGGGTACAGGGGTTTATGGGGTAAAAATTGGGTTTTCTCATTTTTGACCCTAAAAACATAACATTTAGCAATTTCTTTCCAAACCTTTCTCTAGCAATCTAGCAAATTTTGTAGATCTTAAAAAAACAAATGACTTAGTATATTGAAGCGTTATTATGCGCCTAATGGTTATGGAGAAAATTCAAAAAAATTGTAAACTTAAAATTCCCATGTTATTCTTATGGAGGATAAGTAAACCGTTGTTTGCTTTGAGCATATTTTGATCGCATTTGGAAAATGCATTTATTTCATACTAAACTATTAACATTTTACAAAAAACACTTTTTCCCTGTTGCAGCAAAACCTAGAGTAGTTGTTAAAGTAATGCTATTTAAATAGAGAATAAATGTGATATTTTTAAGGAGACATTTCAGTGTAAATCTAATTAAGCAAAAGGAAATTGGCTTAGTCTGCAGGGTTGCTGCAGCAGGGGTATTTTAATAATGACTTTTAATGGCAATTATTTTTCCAAAAATTGGCAAAAGTATACATTAATCAAACAAACTCATTAACACATATTCAACTCTTGAACTGTGTGAACAATATTTTAACTATTATAGTATGAAATGTTTTTGTATAGGTTGCTTGTAGCACTATTTCTGTTTGTCCGGCAGGTGACTCCGCAACAGAAGGGCTGGTCCATGTACGCTCAGCTGTTAGTAGACTTGTTCAGATACTTGGCACCTTTCCTGCGCAACGCAGAGCTTGCCAAGCCAGTCACTCTGTTGTACAAAGGAACTCTGCGTGTTTTGTTGGTGCTGCTACATGACTTCCCCGAGTTCTTGTGTGATTACCACTACGGTTTCTGTGACGTCATACCTCCCAACTGTATTCAGGTATTGATTTTATGTTTGATGTTAAGCAATCGTGGTTTTTCTTTATCGTAGATTAGTGTTTTCGATTTTTGTCATCTAACACCAATACGATTGCAGCACACTGATTGACATTAGTGTTTGTCAACACTATCTATACAACTATGTATACAACTTTCCACTTAGGTGTAGGCCTAAATCAATTTTGAACAAATTCATTGAGTGGAAATCACTCTGATCATTTGTTTCAAAAACTATAAGTTTAACAATTGGATTGAAATAAAATAGTACTGAACTCTAATTTTCTAATTATATTGTGTTTCAACACTTCTAATCCCCAGACAAAGCATTTAACATGTTAAGTTACGATGCAAACAAACTGTTTAGCTCTGTCATTATTATTCACATTGTTCTTGTTCATTGTGCTGATGGCAAATTTTCAGATGCGCAACCTTATTTTGTCGGCTTTCCCGAGAAACATGAGACTGCCGGATCCTTTCACTCCTAATCTGAAGGTGGATATGCTCCCAGAGATCAGTCTGGCTCCTAGAGTTCTCACCAACTATGTCTCAACAATTCAACCAGTCACATTCAAGAAGGTAACATTTAGTCATTTCAACCTGATTTCCAGGTGGTATCTCTAAAAATATTATGAAGTTTAATGGAAATTTTTTTCATCCGCCATGTCTTGGAGTACATTTTCACCCTACAAATACACTCTAGTTTCCTGGGTTTCTCATCGTTTGAATCTAATATCTAATATTTGTTTATATTAAAAAGAATTGATTTAGTTTTGGACTATCATGTAGCCAGTTTCATCCTGCAAAGACCAAGTAAGTTAAACACTTTATCCTTCTAATAAATTTAATTGTAGCCTATAGAATTCATTAACTAACAGATTTAAAACAGTTAGTGATGCAAATAAATTGCTTGTTTATGCTACCAGCTGATTATAGAAATCAAGATGCTCTTAGGAATAGCTTTGAAACTTACAAATTGTAGAACGGAGCCTTAAAAAAACTTTGTTAAATTTTTGAAAGTTTGTTATGATTGCTTATTGTTTTAGCTCTCCTAGTAATCAAAAGGTTGCCTGTCAAATCCTGAGAAAAGTCAGTAGGTAATTATTGTTCAACTTTTGAACAGATTGTAAATTAAATCAAGTAAAAAAAAAAGTTAATTATTGATGGGAAAAAACTGGACACAGCTGTCCTTGATTATTGGGCTTATAATAAATTATCCCGACTAATGAAACAGCTAGTCTTAATCTGTAACAAAGCTGCACAGATCATCTCACTCCATTCTACACTCACTTTGCATTCATATACAGCTTGAAATACACACCCAAGTGTACATTAAGGAAATTGACAGGAAAGCAGGCTTACCTTTAAATAAGTCCATAGAGACACATAAAATATACAACACAAAAGTAGAAATTTTCACTGGAGAAAAATCGTTGTTTGTTCTCTAGTAGTTGAAGAAAATTTCTACTTTTGTGTTGTATATTTTATGTGTCTCTATGGACTTATTTAAAGGTAGACCTGCTTACCTGTCAATTTCCTTAATGATTCCTAGCAAATGACCTATCTTTTTATAAGACACCCAAGTGTACGTTGCTGTTCCAAAGAATTGATAATTAATCGATGAATACACCATACAAGGATTTAGTATTCAAAATTTTGTGCTTCTCTGCCATAGAGCCTGTGCGTTGATTTTGATTCCAATTAGATCGATTATAACTTATGTATAGATATCCTACTATGTCAGTGTTGTTTGCCAGGACCTGGACTCGTATCTGAAGCTGAGAGCTCCGGTAACGTTTCTGTCAGAGCTTCGCAGTAACTTGCAAGTGTCCAATGAGCCTGGCATGCGCTACAACATCCCTCTGATGAACGCTCTGGTGTTGTACGTCGGAGTCCAAGCTATCAGTCACATCCGCAGCAAGGGACTGACTCCTAACATGACCACCATCGCACACTCCTCACACATGGACATCTTCCAGAACTTGGCTGTCGACTTGGATACTGAAGGTATAAACAGTATATCTAAATTACAAAAAGAAGCCATTCGATCAATGTTGAAACAAACAAAAATAAAGGGCATTAAGGGTCAGCGGTACAGAAAATTAAGGTTGGTACGGTACATTTTTTTACCTTGGTTTTCGGTACAAAATTGTTATAATACCAGTATTTATGTCGTTTTCTTCATAGGATTGCATTCTATTTAAAAGATTCCAAGAGAGTGTTATTAAAAGTATTGTAGCAAATAACTTTATATATGAACTTGTGTTTACAAGTGGGTCGGTAAATTAAATCAAGATCATTAATTAATTAGTCAAATACATTCTACTAAAACTTTTCCTACGTTTTGGTAGTTTTGAGAATTGAGATTCAGTTTTGACACATCACTAGTAGGACCTATAAATATTTATTTAATGAAAATGTTTTTTCACAATGTTTTGGTGTGCGTTGTAGGCCGCTACCTGTTCTTGAACGCCATCGCCAATCAGCTGCGCTACCCCAACAGCCACACTCACTACTTCAGCTGCACTCTTCTCTACTTGTTTGCTGAGGCCAACACTGAAGCCATTCAGGAGCAAATCACTCGGTACATCAATTGGTTTTAAAACTATTTTGTTTAGAATATTAGATAGCAAGACTGTATTATTTATTAAAATAGTATATCAAACGCATAATTCAGTGCATATTTTAAACAATTTCTGTATTTGACGCATAATTTATTTTGTGATGTTAAATTTGCAGGGTTCTGTTGGAGAGATTGATTGTAAACAGACCTCACCCATGGGGATTGTTGATCACATTCATAGAACTGATAAAGAATCCTTCATACAAGTTTTGGAACCACGAGTTTGTGCATTGTGCTCCAGAAATCGAGAAGTAAGTAGTTACTTAGATTAGTAAATAAGCATCACAGTTCTTTTCTCTATGTTTGTTTGGTGATAATAAACAAGCTGTTAACCCGTCGTGCTATCTGCTTTCTGAGAATAAAAGTAAGGCTCGGTTTGATTTTCTGACTTTGTGCTCAATCACTTTTAGCCAATAATTTCCTAACACAGAAGGAGCCTATCTACTACAAGCGGCAACATCGGGAACATCACTGCAGTGTACCTACACCTGTCTCATTTGTCTCTTGAGATCTCCTATGACCTGCTGAGTGCTGAGATTCCGCCGCAATTCCTTCTCTGTACTCAACTTATATTTAGACCATTGGCCTATCAATTAACTTAAAAAATATACTATAGACAATAGACAAATTCTTTATCCCTTCAACAAGATACATATATAATAAACACAGGAATACACACAGGTTTATGAGATTTATGTAATATGTGGTTCATTTCAGGCTGTTCGAGTCAGTAGCTAGATCTTGTATGGTCCAGAAACATGTGCAAGCTCCGGCTGAAAATGAACTAACTGAATTGTAAGTTACAAGTGCAAATGGTTTAGATCAATTAACAAGATTTTGAAGTGTGTAACATTTGATAAATAATTAAGGAATTTACTGAAATATGAATAATTATAACTTTGAAATTGAGAATCACTTTGTTTTTACATCTGGTTCATTAATAAGATGAAAATCTCAAAAGATCCACCAATTCATTGTGTTATGAACTTGTGTTTATGTTTTTTGATCAATTATTGCTGACATTTTGCCTATTTTGACTAGTTAGTAGTGAAGTGTCAGTTAAAATTTTCAACCGGTCAGTTTTTGTTTTAATATTTGTCTGTTTTCAGTAATTATTTATATTGCAATTTTTGATCCAGAGGCTAACCTATCATGCAATTTATTTTAAGTAAGAATGGGTTTTAAGGAAATCTGAAATCAAATTGTTTATCTTGTGCTCTGGTAAAACAGTACTTGGAACTTAACAAGATTAGTACATAAAAGCTGGGAAATCATCAAAGAAACACTATTGAATACCTGTTGAAGTGGATTGCTCCTTGGTGTGTTAGATTCTTTTTGATGAGATAGTGATGTTGCATGGGAAGTGAGGTTAGTCTTGAAGCTTAGGCTATATTAAATATTGAGTAGAATTTCTTTTAAGGATGTGTCTTATATTTTTGCGTAAAAGAATGTTAAATGAATGGTAATATTGTTTTGTAATAACATATGTCTTCTGTTACAGGCAGAACCTGAACAATCAAACAGCTTTCTCTGTCGCCTAAAGTGTAAAAGCTTATCAAAATCTAACTTAAAAGTCATCATTGTTATTTTATTTGTTTTGATTTAAACCAAGTTTTAGTTACATAATATCAACAATTTTATTTTTTTAATGTGTTACATTTCCCATAGTGTAGTTACATAGTGTGTTAAGTGTGCCTTTTTTGTTATTTTTGAAAGGGCTCTAGTACAATAATATTGTTCATTACCTGTGATGGATCACAGTCGATTGTCAAGTGAAGATACCCAATATATTTAGAGAGAAGTTAATTTAAATCAAAAACTTGAGGATAATATGTCCTCCTCTTCCCATGTCACTGTAATTTGTGATCATCGTGGTTTTAAAACTAGTACATGATGCACAAAATGTATTTTTCCCGAGAAGGTGAATCATGTCCTGTGAAATATGTATGTATAATTAAATTCTTGTAAATGTATTTCTGTAATAAACTTCGTATTTAAATTATTAGGATATATTTTTAATCTTGAGTTATTTCCTCCAAGTCTATTTTGGTTATACGGTGTCTCCGGCTTAGTTCAGGCAGGATATCAGACCAGAGGATAAAACAGTAGTCAGACACACCCTGCCCCAGGATAAACACGGGCAATAGGGTCACAAGCCGGGACTGTCCCCGAGAGAAACTCTGCTCCCGACCCAAAAAAAGATATGCTTTACTTGATACAATATTTAACACATTGCGTGTCACCATTTCACAGGGTTGGGGGGGGGGGGGGGCATGTCCAAGCAGACCAATACAAACTTCCATCGGAGTTTGTCCTAGCCATTCATGTTATAAAGATGGGTTTGCTCGCATTTTGAGGTTAACATTGTATTAGTGTACCCACGGCTCACATTGATTGTGGTTTTGAAAATTTGTTGTTGTGGCATGGTAATTCGCCACAGCGTTTTCCCTGTATTTTCCTTTGGGCCTGTTTTTGTTAGCAATTTGTTCAGTGCTGCTACCTATTGGTTACATATTGTGCCACCACGACAACCCGCCACCAACCGGTTTTTTTGTTTTTATCATAGGTAGCGGGTTGTCTTGAAGCTCCATGTTGTTTGATGGCGACAATGTGCCACCCCGTCAACTCGCCACCTCTCTTTTACGCAGTATATTGTACTTTGATTTAGTTATTTTGAATTGAATGTTGTAAATTAGTAATTTAATTTGTCAAATGATATATATTTTTAGACACATAGTATTATTTATGGAAACGTAAACGTTAGTGTAAAATTGCAAAATATGTCAAACTAACATACCAATAAAATGTAAATATTAAATGTAAAATTAACAATACAATTAAATATTATACTGTTCTTTAGCAAGCAGGCCAGCAGGGAATAATTAGTAGTGAGCTGTCGTCTGCTGTGTCCATCTTGGTGGCCAGTTATATTGTTATTGTAAAATTTCAAAATAAAAATATTATAGCTTGAACAATGCATTTCTGGTTCAGGTTTGGCAAATAACTACATAAATATCCGCTGATAACCTATTAAGGGCAATAATCAATGTTTTCAAATCAAATCAAATCAAATCAAAAATTCTTTATTCATATTGTATGTACATACATGAATAGTGTCAGACTATAACTAATTTGTATGCATTTTGATTTCGATTTACAGAAAAGTAAGAACCGCATACAGTTTCATTTTTTTATTTTTTTCCATCAGAGCACCTCAACCTTATTTATTTAGTCGTTTTTACATTGAAAAAACTCTTCAAATGAATAATAACTCGTTTGCAACAGATGATTCTTAACTAGTTTTTTGAAATTATTTTGGTTTATTTTACTTTTTAATTTTGTAGGAAGATGGTTTAAAAATTTTGATCCCATAAAGGTTCCCTTTTTTTCAAAGAAGCTGAGGTTATGTTTTGATAAATTTATATCATTCTTATTTCTAGTGTCATATGAATGGACATTTTTTCTAATTTCCAAATTGTGTAGTTGATTTTTGACACACATAATACATTCTACTATATACTGATCATAGACAGTCAAAATATGTAGTTTTGAAAATTTATCCTTCACAGTTATTCGTTTGTCCAAGTATAACATGATTCTTATAGCTTTTTTTTGGAGTTTCAGAACTGTATCTAAATTTTGTTTAGACGTTCCTCCATAGATTGCCAGACCATAAGACAGATGGGAATGTATATGCGCAAAATATATTGATTTTAGGGTGTCCAGGCTACATAATAGTGACATACGCCTCAAAACATATAACCCTGAAGATATTTTTTGTGTTATGAATTGTGTATGATAATCCCATTTAAAATATGTGTCTACGTAAAGCCCTAAAAATTTAGTATGCTTTAGATTTTCTATTTTTTCGTTTCCAACCAGGATGTTTGGTTCTATTGTTTCTTTTCTTTGTGAGGCTGAAAAAACGATTTGGTTGGTTTTTTGACAGTTTAAAAAAAGTTTATTTTTAAGAAAATATGATTGAACTTTACTCAAATTTTCATTACAGGCCAGTTCAAGATTTTGGTAATTTTTAGCTGAAATAATTAGGTTTGAATCGTCTGCGTACAATAGTAACTGGCTTTTGGCTTCTATGTTTGATTTTAAAATTGAGGGCATTCCACGGACATAGCAGAGAAATAATAATGGTCCTAAAATAGATCCCTGAGGAACTCCATGTTTAATTTTTAATGTTTGTGATTTATTTTTTACGATTTGGTTTCCTTTTTTTGAAACTATTTCAACATACTGAGATCTATCGGAGAGGTATGATCTAAACCATTTTAAAGGAACATCTGGCAGGCCCAAAACTTTAAGCTTCTTAAGTAGTATTTCATGAGACACGCTGTCAAATGCTTTTGACAAATCCATGAAGACACTGGCTACCTTATCCCCCTTGTCAATAGATTCAATTATTGTTTCCGCAAACCTCAGCAGAGCTGAAGTGGTTGATTTTCCTTTTTGGAAACCATGCTGTTCTTCGTCTAAAAGGTTATTATTTTGTAAATGCTCAAACAATCTATTATACATCACCCGCTCATATATTTTTGAAATAGCAGGTAAGACAGAAACAGGACGGTAATTACTTCTTTCAGTTTTTTCACCCTTCTTAAAAATGGGCACTACTTTGGACATTTTTAAACTTTGAGGAAAAACTCCGGTTATTAAGGAACTGTTAACTAAGTGAACTAATGGCTTTAACAAGGGTTTTACTGTATTTTTAATTAACTTTAAAGGAACTTCATCGTGGCCACTTGATAACTTATTTTTTAAGGACAAAATAATTTTTTCAATCTCTGCTTTATCAACTGGTTTAGATTTAAAAGGATTCAAGATTTTAATATGATTTATGTTGTCCTGTAAATTTATTCCATTGGGCAACGTTGAATTATTTGAGGTATCCTGAACAAGATCATCTATTACATTGATATAGTAGTAATTAAACAAGTTTGAGATGCTCAGAGGATCACATACAGCTTCACCATCTATTTTTATTACATTGATTGCTCCTCTTGAGCTATTAACATTTTTTCCTGTCTCTTCATTTATTATCTCCCAGGTTTTCTTGCAGACATTTTCAGATTTGTTAATTTTTGTATCATAAAAAGTTTTCTTAGCCTTAACAAGTTTATTCTTGTAATCTTTATCTTTTAATTTACAGTAATTAATTATATCAACATTACCACTAAGTCTAGCATATTTTGATAGTTCAACTATATCCTTTTTCTCCATCATCAGCTCTTTAGTAATCCAGTTACTTTTCCTTTTAGACAAGTATCTTTTGATTTTCTTTTTTGGAAAAACTAAATTAAAATTATATTGAAAAATGTTGTTAAATACATCAAACTTATTCTCTACTTTCGATAAATATAATGGAAGCCAGTTTTCATAGGAAAGAATATTTTTAAAAATATTCATATTATTATCTGAAAAATCTCTACATTCAACATATTCACTGGGCAAATTTAATTTCTTAGATTTGGGTAATGTTAGCTCTAAAATTTGTCCATCATGATCGGAAAGAGATGTTATGATTCCAGTAACATGTGTCAATGACTTATCTATATTTGTCAAAATATTATCTATAGCTGTGGCAGTATTACTGGTTACCCTTGTAGGAAAATTTACTAAATAATTAAAATTGTAGCTTCTTAGGATGTTTTTGAAAGTTTGAACTTCATTTGTTGTAATTAATACATTAAGGTTAAAATCTCCAGCAATAACAAAATTTACTTCGTCTTTTAAAGAAACTAAAAGTTCAATTAACCTATCTAATCTACTTAAAAATTCTAATGTTTGTAATTGAGGTTTTCTGTAAACTCCTACCAGCACAAAAGACCATTTTTTTATTCTATATTTAGCCAGACAACACTCAAAAAGCTTGTCCTCGGTCAGTTCATCAACTTTTTTTAAGGTTAGGGGTTTTGAGTTCAAACTCTTCTCCGACAGAATCATCACGCCACCGCCAGAGGTGGTTGTACGAGAGTATGCAGAAGTAACAGAAAAGTTAGTTAAATTAAATCTTTCTATTTCATATTCTTTCATGTTGTGTTCGGTCAAAACAATTATATTGGGTTTAATTTCTTCTAAAACAACTTCTAATGGTTCTTTCCGGGAATTTAAATGTTGAATATTTTGATGAAAAATTGAAAATGTGTTTATTTTGTTGCTATTTGTTGAGTTTTGATTTTTAAACTTTAGTCTGGATCCTTGAAAACTGTCGGCGAAGAGTTTAAATCCGGTTTAGGGTCAGGAAGGATCCGGTGTGGTTGATTAGTTGAAGGGGACTGGGTCGAACTATAACTATTGCTTATATTTAAACTATTGCTCGTATTTAAACTATCACTCATGACACTTTTATCACTGCTCTGCTTTAACGCCTCACAGTATGTGAGGTCGCCGGGCACCACTTTAACTTCTTCACCATGTGTTGACATCTGGTTTGTAAGTTGGCCGTCAGCTCCAGGTGCTTTACAATCAGACGAAACCATCTTAGTTGTGTTTGTTGAGTTACCAGAGCCCCGTGAGATCTCCAAAGACTGCAGATCCTCTGAAGGTGAAGCAGGCGGGTTGATGCAAGCATCAGTTAGAATATTTGGGGCATCAATTTCACAACAGCAACTGTCTATTGTCTTCCTTAGCTGATCCAGAAATGCAGTATGTGATAGTCCATTCCATAATTTTCGCTGAGCAGCTGGTTGATCACATGACACTACATATATCGTAGCATTAGTCACTTTGTGCAGCTTTACAATATTTTTTGCAAAGTGGTTGAGAGGTATTAAGTCACGCACACAGCCCATAGGAGAACATATTAAAGTATCAAATTGCTTTACTTTAAAATCCTCAATCAAGTGTTCAAACGCCTCATCATACGTTGGTAGTGTTGGCTTTCCTCTATATTCTTCCTTTGTGACAAGACTGTAGACTGTGGCACCCCCTGATTCAGTCTGGCTAGTCAATCTTGAGTTGATGAAGTCTGTGTCCTTAGGCCTACCAAAT